TGAACTCTCATAATAAATTCTCCCTTCATCACATCAATCATAGCCTACCTATGACTAAGAAAGGTCTACCCAAGCTGATAGGTATTTCTTTATCTTCCTCTATATCTAGTATAATAATTTCTATAAGGAAAATAAACTTATCTAGCTTTACTAATACATCTTCCATTACCCCCTTAATATAGATGGATGAACGATCAACTAACTAAAGGGTTAATAGTGATATGTTGGACTTCTCCTAGGTCTAGTCTTTTAAATATGAAAAAGGTCATGAGATTGATGTTAGCTCTTAAGCCACATCTATCTTCCTCTATATCTAGTATAATAAAGTCTATAGGGAAAATAAACTTATCTAGCTTTACTAATACATCTTCCATTACCCCCTTTAGACAGGTAGATGAATGATCAAATAACTAAAGGGTTAATGGTGATATGTTGGACTTCTCCTAGGTCTAGTCTTTTAAATATGAGCAAGGACATGAGATTGATGTTAGCTGTTAAGTCACATAGTGCTCTCCCAAAAAGCATATCTCCTATAGCCATAAGGATGGTAAAACTACCAATATCCTTAACCTTCTATGGGATCTTCTTTTGGATGACTGCACAACATTCCTCAATAAAGGCTACTCTTTTAAAGTTTTCTAATTTTCTCTTTTTGCTCAAAATACCTTTCATGAATTTAGTATATGTATGCATCTTCTCTAAGGATTCTATAAAGGGTATGTTAATTGTTATGTTTTTAAATACCTCCAAAAACTTAGAGAATTATATATCTAATTTTTTCTTTAATAACCTTTAAGCTAAAATGGTGATGGTCTCTCAACCTTTCTAACTAGTTTTCTACTTCCTTAATAGGTTAAGGTTTTTCTTCATACTTAGTAGGCTCTATGGGTGCTTCCTCTAAAATCTCTTCTACAGACTTCTCCACTTTCCTAACAACTTACTCTAACTCTCTTCCACTCCTTAATTATATACTTTCAACAAAAATAAATAATAATGTCATAGATCAAGTTAAATAATGATAAGGATAAGATTAAATTAGTAATTCATTCAACAATATAAAGTGCAAGACACCAAAACTTGACTGGTGCACTACTATAATTTAATTGCGGTTACTAGGCAATGGTGTAAATCATATTCTATGTAAGTATATGTGTTGTTTCAAGTAATAAAGTGATAAGAAGAGTATAATTCCTATGAAAATTTAAATAATTACCCTAAGTCATTCTAGTATTACTTATATGAACTACTAAATTAATTTTATCGATTGAATAAAAAGGGTGTGCAATTCAAAATTAACAGCTACTAATTTAAGAAAATAATTTTATATTTAAGTATTATGTACCTATTATACTTAAAAAATTATGTTTATAATACTTATATTTTTCCTAATATAGTTATGAATTATAACATAATTACTCCTCATCTCTGTCGGTCTCATTACATAGCTTAGTTTTCTCTCAACTATAGTTTTGATATATCCTAAAGATCCTATAATTCTAATCACCATATATCTATGTATTGCAAAGTTAAGTTTTAAATCTCCTAATTATTCTTCTACTCCTGCATTGAGGTTGTAGATCACACTATAATTTCAATTCATGCAATGTCTCTACATAAACTAAATTAAGCAAGTGGAAGTTTTAAAAATATCATTGAATATTTCTTATAATTATAAATATAATTTAAAGTAAAATATTTCTCTAAATTATCACAAGTCTAGAGAAAAGTTTTTAGCCCGATATTAAATTTACACAAAAAAATAGGCTTCAATGTAATATAGAAAAATAAAATTACAATAAATAAGTAAGGATAAAAATCACCAGGAAATCTTGTACAATTGAATTATAAATTCCTTGCATTTCTACCTCTTCTCTTCAGACTCATATTGGACTTAACACAACATAAGCATTTGCTAGCCTTAGGAAGCCTATAAATGTCTTAATATACTTCTTAGTAAGCTTATAAGTTAAGGGACACACTAAATTAAACCTTAGGTGAAACTTTAAAATTATCTATGCTTAAATAAATACTCCTAAATCATAAGCTTTATCCTAGGTAACCCATAACCCTAAGGCTTAGCCTGGAAGCCTTACACTCATCTTATGAGTTAAGTAGTATTGGTCAACCACTTTGAACCTTAGTAAAAGGTGATTTAACTAAGGTTAAACTTTAAACTCTAAAGCTACCTAAAAATTTAAAGAGGACATCTATCTGGCAAATTGAGCTACAACACTCCTAATCCATCTTAAGAATGTTTTGATTTAGGCTTGACCCATGGTCAAACCCCTTTAACTATGGTCAACACAAGTTTGACCTACCCAAATGTCCAAATCAACTATTTTTCCCCTGGGATTGGATATAAATGATTTCAAATTCATGTTAGATTCATTTGAAATCACTTCCTACTCTTAGTCAAACTATTTGACCAATAGTGGTAAAATTACTAAACTACACCTAAGTGCCATATGTGGACTTCTCAGGTGAAAACCCCAAATTAAGCCCTGAAATTAGTTTGAAATGATCTTAAATCCATTTTTAGTAACATTTAAAATCATTTCATAACCTTGGTCAACTCTTTTTGAAAAAAAGGTAAAATTATCAAAATACTCCTAAGAATCCATCGTGGAATTCGTAGGACTATAGCCATAGATTTTGAGTTAGCATTGCTCCCAACTAATTCTAAACCCTTTTATAATTGGAATCATGTGTGATCAATGTTGAACCTTTGTTACCATAAAAGACAAAAGACTCAAATTCCTTGTAGGTTCATATCCTATTTATCTTAGGAAATTCTCTTACAATTGGCCCTAGGTTTGCATCCAAATTCCTTTGACTCATTCAAATATCATCCTAAAGTTCATTTAACCCATGGCCAACTGATGTTGACCATGTTTAGGTCAAAATTTTAAAATTGTTCCTAAACTTTCTAATCCTAGGTTTCATAGGATATTTTATCCATTTCACATTAGCTTTTGGATCAAGTGATTCAAACTCACTTAAAAATCACCTTTGCAATCACCTATCACTGGTCAACCCATGTTGACCATGGTTAGGTAAAAAAGACCAAAATTCCCTTAAGTGAACAAATTTAGATTTCATAGAATTAACTCATCATGGCATTATTTTACAAAGGTTCCTAAGACCTTTGTCATGATTCCCTAGGCAACCTAGCCCATCTTGCTAACCCAAGTAAATCAACTGAGTTGATCCAAGGGTACCTCAAGTGTCAAATAGCAGTTCAATGAAACCTAAGCCAAATTGACCTAACCTATTACATTTGTTAGACTCGTTACCCTTCTTCCTTTAACCTCAGGAATTAACAGTTCTAAATTTGAACCAATCCTATTTGAATTTTGAAAAGAATATCTTTTTTTTTAATACTTTGAAATATTAAAAATATTTATCACTACTTTAATTGAAAGTTTTCTTAGGAGATTAATCTATCGTGAGATATAATTAACTATAAGGGCTAGTTGTTATAGTGAAACTATACCTAGAACAAAATAAACCAAATCTCATTGATATAAGGTAGGGGAAGCCTTTATGAACATAGATATTTTTGCCAAAACCCTACTTTTATTTTAAAATCCATTATTGAATATAATTTTTTGCCATTTGAGATGGCATGTTATTCTCAATGTTGCATTTGATTACAAAAATAGAAATATTAAAATCATGTGGTTTTTATTCCTACACATGGTAATAACTTTGTATTTACTTTCCCTTAACCCTTTTGTAGCCCAATTAATTTATGACCATTAACTCACTTGTCATTTTCACCATAGCTCCTCCAAAGGTTTAAGGGAGTCTTGGAACACTCACATATGAATTTTCAAGTATTTAATAGGTAGTCAATAGGTCATAAAAGGTGCATTCATACTCATGGACCTTAGTAATAAAGACTCTACCAAGGGTCAAAAATCCCCAATTTAGTAAAATAGGTAAAAGGGTGTTGTCTCCTCAAGTTTGCATCATAGGTTAAGGGTTCATATCAATCACCTAGGTCGAAGCTCACAGCCCAACAATAAGCACCCATCTATATACTCACCACCACATAGGATGGAATGTTATTAGTACTCATTTAAGTTACATGGAAGGATACTCTCGATAAGATTCAAGCTTGCCTGATTGTGCTCATGTAACTATGGAGTCTATGAAGCAACATTTGTCTATTGTTGAATATGATGGTTGTCTAACATTGCTTGAAACAATGCCCCCTCCCACAAACCTCATGTAACATGATGATAACTTAATCGAGGCAAGCCAAACAAAACTCTGAGTTTAGCAAATCCAAAGCCATTCATATTTTAAATTGATCAATTTTGTTGTCTATGAGCTCAACATGATGCAAACTTCATTTGAACAGGCTCAAATAGTTTATTTAAAAGCTCTGAGTTTGGATTATTGTTCATGCAAGTTTCAACAAATGATTTTTTTAACATACTAATAACATCTCACATAGACACACACACACACACAAACTTCAATTGACATCTAAGTTAATCTTTCATTGATAATATTTTATTGTCTCAAGATTAGTTTGTTTAGAGGTTTTTGTTCTACTTATTAAGATTTGAAACCTACATAATGGTATCAAATTCTTAGAGGCTTGGAAGGATGATGTAAGTGCATTCTTAAGTCTAGTTTGTAAGGGTCTTTCTTAATTTACATTCAATTAAAATTTGTTGTAATGAATTGTGAATTGAAGATCTATAGAGGTTGCAATATTTTTTTTTTAATATTGAAATTGTTAAAGAACTTATACATGATAAGTATTTATTTTTAATGTATACTTCCTTTAATGAGCGGCCACAAAAATGACTCAGCGGCCCATTTTCTTCCCGTGGATGCCTCACTTATGAAATCTTATCCAATCTAAGATGAACCAACCAGTAGTCTCCACATCAGCACATAGCATCCATTGGCTTCAATGTAAGCCACTAGTACTACCCACTCCTCTTCCACCATCTTCTTCCAATCCCTTCTGCTCTTATAGGCCTCCTCCTCTCTATTCTTCAACTCTCTCAAATCAGCAGCAGCTCCCATGGCTTCTAAGCTCTCTTCTCCCACTGCAATCTTATCCTCTCTCCCCCAATTCTCTGGCCTCAAAGCTCAACAACCATCAACGGTGAAGCTTCCGGCCAAGGCGGGGCGGCGACATGGGAACGGAGCTCTCTCCGCTCGCTGTGACTCATTCATAGGCTCACCAACAAACATTGTGAGCACATTTTGATCATCAATCATGCTTAGACAGAACAGATGTGATGTTATTATACCACTTCTTTGTTGCAGATAATGGTGACGAGCACGGCTTTGATGTTGTTCGCCGGGCGGTTCGGTCTGGCGCCGTCGGCGAATAGAGTGGCGACGGCGGGGTTGAAGCTGGAGGCCCGAGACTCGGGGCTGCAGACTGGGGATCCGGCTGGCTTTACTTTGGCGGATACATTGGCTTGTGGTACAGTTGGGCACATTATAGGAGTGGGAATTGTGTTGGGACTCAAGAATTTGGGAGCTTTGTGAAGAGCAGCTGGATCTTATGGAATTTTTCTGCTCTTTTCAATTATGTTGTTACAGTATCTGTAAATGAAGTGTTTTGTGCTTTACTCTATCAATTTTAGGCTAATTTTTTAGCTTATTTTGATCCAGTGAAATTACTATAAGATTGGAGAGCTAGCTTTTATCCAACTATATGTTGGCGGTTACATGGATCCTTTTCTTCATTGTGTCATGTTAAGGAGCAATTATTACATCCGGTGTCTGAATGCGTTCAGAGACCAATAATCACACGCCACATCACCTAAAACTCGGTATTGCTTGGTATACATTCGGACCGTTCGGTTTTTGACCGGATGTAATAATTTCTCCATGTTAAGGGGCTGTTTGGTAGCAGTATTTAGGCCGGATTTGAGCGAAATCCACAAATGAAAGTCGTCGTAGACGGAAAATTCTGCCTTTTCGAGCTAAATCCCGGATTTCCAAAATCCTATTTTTTGTTGGATTTACGAAATACATTGCCTCCAAAGGAAGAGTCTGTTCCTTAAATTGCTTTATAGCCAAATAGTCGCTCGGGATTTAATAGGATCTATCATGAATGTTACGAAAAAATCGCATGGGATTTAATAGGATTTATCATGAATGTTACCAAATTGCTTTCAGGATTTAGGCCCATCAGAATTTCTGAAATTTGGATTTAGAGGATTTACGAAGTCCTGCTTAAATCAAATCCTAGGTGCTAACAAACAGCCCCTATGAGCCGGATTCACATTTAAATGTACTAAAGAAAGATCATTTCTAATATTTTATAACCAATTTTTTTTAGGTCTATATTTATCTTTCTTAACATAAGTCAAATACAATACATTTATTTTTCTAACTAGGTCATCGTAAGGCAGCCGTTTTATGTGACCGAATCATCTAAAGCAACTCTCTCTAATTTTACCTTCGACTTGAGCTACTTCAACCTTATCATGTGATATTTTAAGATTGGAAAGTCATACATCAGAAAAATATTTGATCAGTTTGAGTTTTTAATCATAGGGATAAATGAAAGCTAAGAATAACTGTTTATTTTAAACATAATTTCTAATTAATAAATTTTATATGAGATTAATTAAAAAAATTGATTAATGATGTATCATACTCATTTCAATTATTTATTTTAATTAGTTATTGAAAAAATTAACGGTAATGTTTGTATCATGAAATTTAAAAGAGAGTAGAGTGATAGGGTACTAGTCTACTAGGAGATAGAGCATTAATAGAGGTATTATTTTACCAATATTTATCTATATTGTGATGCTTGGTCATGTAAATTTGGACTATTATATATGAATATTTTGGAAGAAATGATAAGCTGAAAATTGTATAAGTTATATTTTATATTATTTTTGGAAGTTTAGTGGCTCTAGAAATATGACGCTTGAGGTTGAGACAATCAAATTTAGGATCTATTTCTTCCATTAGAGCTAGTGGTATGACAATGTGGTATCAAAGCAAATTTAGAAGAATTGGATAGTAACCAAACTGATCTATAATTGAATAGGGAATAATTAGGGATCATTAGCATTATTTTATGTATAATTAATTATCATTTGTATGTATAGTTAAACTTTTCGTGTTACATAGAAGCATTGTTGATATAGACCCCGAGATCAATAAGCAACTAATGGACAGTGTTCCAGTAGAGCTACAACATTATAGAGTATAGTGGGAGTGATGACTTCTGAAGAAGTGTTAATGTAGTAAGTACTGTGAAGCTAATCTCTCCTTTTTGATGCTTGGGAGCAATGCGGCATTGAGCTCTCTATCTTGAGCATTTGGAATATCGTATGACAGCGCTATGGTGCTTGCAGAATGAGCGACGCAACATGTACAAATTTTGAAGTTTTTATATAAATATATAAAAGCATATCAATATCATCCCATTTCTTAATTTCGTTCACCATAAATGTTGGAGAAGGGGCAGAGAGGAGAAAAAAGAGAATGAAGAAGAGAAGCTAGGTTTTTGAGGTTATGGAGTTGGTTTCATCCCTTTAGCTAACGGGAAGAATTGTTTAGCTCAAGTTAGGCTTCTAGTATCCTATTTTATATTTCAATTTTGACATTTGCAAGGATAATTTTGGAGTTTTATTTTATTTTATTAAGTTTTGACAAATTTTCCACCATGAACATTTTTATAATGCATGTACACTTCTAGAATTGATTACAGCTCATTAAATTCTTTAAAATGAAGTTATAAATGTTCCGTATGAATAATTTTCTAAATGGTTAATATTGAGTATGTATGCAAATTTTATATATGTCATCTATTGAAATATCGTAAATATGACCATTCATGCAATTTTATTTCCATGTTAAATTTTGCATATACATGTTGAACATATTGATATTTCTATGTGTATGGTATGTAAAGGAGCAGGAATGGAGGTTATGTATGTGGCGGCTTATTATGTTTGTTGTAATACAAGCAGAGTTATAAGGGTGTATTCCCATTTGTATATGTTTTCCTCCATCTATCTTAAACATATATGAGATATCAAGTTGAGGAATATGTGAAAGTGAAGTTATAAGGGGAATGAGGCTATCATAATCAGGTGGAGGTATAAGTAAAAGTAGAGATATAAGTAAGCATTGAGACATGTATATGTCATATTTCATAAGTTGTGTTAAGCATATCATCTTATATATTGATACCTATGAACAAGTCTGAAAAATATTCATGTTAATGTTTTGATACCTATGTTCAAATTCAAGCAATGCACATGTTCAAATTCAAGTAATGTACATGTTATCTTTTCTAATGAAGCCTCAAAGTACAATTACAAGTTCTTGTTACTGCCTTGTAAATGATAAAGTCCCACACCATTACATAATATTTTGATTTAAACTATACAATTTTCTATTGCTTTATATGTAAGTTTTACTAATTTGGACTTTGACTTTTTTTATTTAGAATTGTGTAGTCTACTAAGCAATTGGTTTGCTCATTATGTATGTTAATGTCATTTAAAAAAAAAAAAAGATAAACCCTCACAAGTAGATTAGAGGTTGATAAAGTAAAGATCCGATTAGGGATGCATTCAATGTAGAGATATTCTTTTGATTATTCCAAGATAAAACTGGAAGAAAGAGAGGTTGAAATGGATGACATAATAAATATTTAAATTAATTAAATGATATCTAAATAACAAGATAACAATATAATAATTATGAAATAATATAAAGTTATGATTAAAAGATAAATAAAATTTATACACAAATAATTGATTTTATCATTTTAAATTTAAATATTCTCAATCATTAATTTGAATTCAAATTTAATATAAATAATTACTAATTTATGCTATATATTTAGGTGTAATTTATACCAATAGATTATATAAAAAAATCATATTATAAAATTAAATTACATATATAAATTCATGTTGCATTGTTTATATTTAAAAGATAGTTTTAATATTAGTTTTTTATATTATATAATTACATAACTAAATATATACAAATTCAGTATTATTAATTAAAAATATATATTATTTAATTACAAAATTTAATTAAAAATTATGTTTAAAATATATAGTTTATGTGTTGTAAACTTAAGAACTTAGCTTTAGTTATATAGTTGTGCATCAATTAGCTTGGACACTTTGACTTAATATTGTTTATATAGCATTTTTAGTTTTAAAAGAATTAACAAGCTGGATCATAGTGAGACTATATGAATAAGTTTGCTTTGAGATTGTTTGATAAATAATTTTATGAAAATTATAAGTCATCTTAAGATTAAAATATATTAAATTTAAATTAATTTTATATTAATTTATTTATGTAAATGAGATAATATTTGAAGCGGCTAAGTCCATAACTCAAGGCTTAATTGACAAGTTATGTAAAAGTAGACAATCAACTCTTTGTACTCTTTTTTATTTGTGCAATCTTATCTGTTGGTCATATCTCTAAATCTAACGTCTAAGAAAATCATATGTTAGTTAAGCCTCAGCTCAAAACTATAAATTAAAGGCTCAAGACATGTGAAGATTTTCAATATATACTTGAGCTTAGTTAGGTTTGATTAAGGATGACTTTTTTACTATTTTTTTTTTAAATAACTATAAATTTTTGTACTAAAAAGTATTTTACAAAGCATTAAGAAAGCCGCCCCAAATAAAACCTTAGTGCAATCTCATAGTTTCTGACTCTAAAATCCTCTTTCACTCTCGTATTCTTTGTTCACTCATTTATTTTGGCAAAATGTAAGGTTCTTGTACAATTTTTGGACATATTTAGATTTAGTTGCATGACCCAATATAATCATGAAGTAGTATCATTATTGTACACATTGCTAGCAATGTTTCATACAAACATATTTTTTTACATGTCTCAAATCAACTCATACACGACCCACAATCATAAATTAAAATATTAAGGTTTCATTTTGGACGACTTTCTTTGTGCTTCTTAAAGCCGCTTCTTAGTAAAAAATTAAAAATTTTATACTAAAAAGCAGTTTTAAGAAGCAGTAAAAAAGCCGTCCCAAACGAAGCCTAAATATCATGGATAAAAAACAGCAATTTGAAGATTATTTATTAAAAGACAAGCAAGCACTACAGTTCTTTGAAACCCACAGAAACAAAATAATTAACAGAAAGCATAAAGCTTTTTCACCATATTTTCAAAATTTTAAACCTCCAACGGGCAAGAGAGCCGTAGGGTTGGCACAGCCACCAATCTGAAAGCACGCGGCACAGTGAGACCGAAGGAATCCTCCATACTTAGCTCTGAAGAGCTCATCCCATCCGGCAGCTCCCAATCGAAGCAATGCAGCAACTCGGCCAACGCCAACTCCATAGCATAGAGCCCTAACTGCATTCCCGGGCATGATCGCCGGCCCGCCCCGAACGGGATGAACTCGAAGGAGCTCCCTCGGAAGTCTCTGTGCGCTGCCTCTCCCTCCCCTATCGCGAACCGTGATGGCCGGAAGGCGTCGGGGTCCTTCCATGCCGACTTACTCCGACCGATGGCCCAGATGTTGATCATAACACGAGTGCGAGCAGAGACGAAACGACCGTCGAGAATAATGTCGTCGGCTGTCTCATGGGGGGCGAGGGGGATCGGAGGGTGGAGGCGGAGGGTCTCTTTCACGACATAGTTGAGGTAGGTTAGTTTGTCGAGGTCAGATTCTTCTACTCGTCGGTGGAGTCCGACGACCTCAGCAAGCTCAGTTTGTACCTTATGTCTCTCGTTTGGGCAGCTCATTAGTTCTGCCATTGCCCACTCTATTGCAGAAGCAACCGTCTCTATTCCACCAAACATAATGTCCTACATTTTTGGCAAAAAAATATTTTTAAATTAGTCGAGTTCGAATCGGTTCGACTCACTTACACTCCTAAGTCCAATCATAATAGACACTCATTGATGCAAGATATTCATATTTAATGCTGAGCATGAGCAGTTTTTCAATAAAAAAAATTAAGAAAGAGATAAAGAGAGATTATCCATAATTTACCATGATGATAGCCTTAATGTTATCTCTAGTAAGTCCCAGATTCTTGAGCTCTTCAGCCTGGCCAAAGTTAGATTTCGCAATCACTTCAGTATCCTCAAGAAAATCAAGCATTTCATCAACCATATCCCTATTTACATCATCCTTTGCCTTAGGATTCTCCCTATGCTCTTCAATAATCTTATCAATAAAGTAATCAAGCTCAAGCCTAGCTTTCTTCAACCTCTTATTCAGTCCATTCAAATCAAGCCATCTCAGCCATGGAAAAAAATCACCAATATTAAAAGCTCCAAAAAGCTTAGAAAATTCTTGAATTATGCCTATCAAGTCCTCATTTCCATGAGAATGTGACCCAAAGGCAGCTGAGAAAATTATACTCTTAGCCAAACTGAAAATCATCTCCCCAATGCAGACGGGACGACCAGAGCAGTTGGCAATGGCAACGACGGTGGAGGAGACTTCACGGCGAACGCTAAACCATGAATTTTTATGACGGTGGCTGAATAGCTTTGTAACACATAGTTTGCGCATGTGGCGCCAAGTTGGGCCATAGTGGGCAAAGGCCATATCAGCACGATTGTAGGTGAGGTAAGTGATGGCGATGGAGGCAGGACGATTAGAGAATACAACGTCATGAATTTGGAGGGCTTGTTTGGCCATGGGAGGAGTGGAGATCGTCAAAGTGTTGAGATGGCCAAGACGAAGGCCAAGGAGTCCCCTACCATCAGTGAAATGATCTGCTAGGTAGGTGAGCCCTCTATGTGTCATTTGACTGGCAAGCAACATGTGACCGATGAGAGGGAGAGGTAGGGGTCCTGGTGGCAATGAAATATGAGATTTTTGCAATCGGTTGAGGAAGAGACTGAGGAGTGCGAGCAAGAACAAGAGAGATAAGAGGACGAATGTCAATATCCAATTCATCTTTTTTCTTTCTTCCTTGTGTTTTATTGGAGTTAGAATGCTCAAAGGAAGCTTTGGCTTTATAGTGCTTGCACCATTAATGAATTAGATGATTCCTCTACCTTGGTCTATTTTAATTCCTTATCATAAATGACGGTTTATAATAATTTATCTAATCTTGCCTCTAGTTGTTAGTTGTTGCACATTGATCAAAATTTTAAAAGGTTATGCAATCACAATGATAAATTGAAAAGAAGATAAGGTGAATATTCCTCTCCTTTGTGCTCTTTTAATTCTCTATTACACGTTTTGTCTTTTTTTAGATTTTAAATATATACATTTTTTTTTAAATTACAAGTAATATGTTACTAACATATCATTGCATGCAATGTTTCTTGTTTTTAAAATATATTGGGCATATGCCAATCATGAGAATTATTGATCCCCCTTTCTAAGTACTAAGATACCTTCTTGTCCTTCTTGATTTTTTACTCACTATTTTTATATGAGGATAAATAAGAATTTAATTCTTAACATGACATAATGGAGAATAGGGATTAATGTGTAGCTGACCTCACGTAGTAGGATAAAAGCTTGATGTTTTTATTTTTGCATTTTTATATTAAGATTAAAGCCACAGATGCAAGAAGGGTTACATGAAACATTATAAGAAAAATTATATGATTGAGTTTGATATAGATAGCAGTGTCGTATATAAGAAGAATTAGAGTTGATAAGAAAAATTAAAATGATTGAGCTCAAAAGAATTAGGATTGTCAAGAGGAACTCAAAAACGCACCAGTAGGATGTTAAGAGTCAGGCTCCTTGATGACCGAGAATTGTACTGATGAGTAAGTGCAATTAATAACAGTGTAATCCTTTTTTTTTTTTTTGCGAAATTGGCATTAAAATCAACATTGCTTTACAATATTTTGTGATCATAACTTATTATTTTAAAATCAATGTTCTAGTTAGTGTTTATACCTTATAATTAATATTTAGGAGCTATCCAATTATAATTGATATTTCATTTAAAATTTATTTATATAAGTGTGTTTGTCTGAATTCATCTAATCATATGTGAGATCATTATACAACCCTAAGCTCTATATGTTTTCATGATTATTGATACATCATCTTCATTTGATCGACTCAAATCTCGAGGCAATATTCAAGTTGGGAACTTTTGAAATTAAATTTAGGATCATCTGACTCTGATTTTAGCAAATTTATAATCAAACCATATGTTTAGACAATATGAACCCAAATGCACTAAAAATAATCCAACTCAAATCAAAATAAGCCCGAATCGAGCACTTAAGGTATGATTAAATACTTCATGGCACTAATTAAAGTATTAAATAATATCTCATCATCGTAAACTTATAATAAAAATAACCAGTTCAACGACAAGAATCTAATGAATCTAATATAAGCTAATCATGAAGTCATTAAGACTTTAAAATATTAAAAGAAAAATATATAATCAAGTGAATCACACTGGGTTGTTCAATGGAGTGTTTTGGGACTCTATCTAAAATAACCAACATTTCACTCTCCAAAACTATAAATAATTTCTCATTCTTCATATGAAAGGAGATATTGGACTTTAAAGAGTTTATATATCTAAATAACTTCAGATTCTTATTTACAGTTTAACGCAAATGATTCCACAAGTAACTGCCATCATCGAATCAATTTTGACCATCAACAATCATTTGAATATAGTTGCATGCTCATTGTCGCATGTCTACTATCATTTGACCATAATGACATGAAATTCTTCTTTTGTCAACTATCATCCAACCGCTATTGCCCACATATCTAGGAGGAAATAATTTCCACGCACATTTGATGCTCTCTTATTTTAAAATCAAATACTGTATTGAGAATAAAGCACTATCTTGGGAGACTAACACAATATTGAGATTTACAATTTAAGATGAAATTTATTATTTAAGTTGACATTTTATTAGAAAGATGAGATTATATTTTTGGAGGGTGTGGACTTAAGATTTTTGCTAAGCCTCAAAATCTAAAACTAAGATAAACCACTATAGGGTAGTGATTCAAATCTAATCTAATGATATGCATAATAATGAAATGGGCCATATATCTTAGACTCATTATAAGATAGTTTTTGGAATGTCCGACTCTTTTGGTGTTATACTTTCACCTAGGTTGAGAATGCCATCTACAATTCCTCCTAGTCACTTCAAAACTATAACTCAAGTTTTTTATGAAAGATAGTTAGACTATTATTCATTCGAAAATGGGAATGACATCTAAGAAAAGTTCTAAATAGTCCTAGATTATGAATGGTAGGTTATGATTCTAAACTAGCGTAATTAATTTTTTTTTAAATTAGTTTCTAATATAAAACATGCTAATTGACTCTTGTGCAATAAATCAAAATGAAAATTTTTAAAAAGGCTTAAAAATAGGTTTATCCTAGAAGAGAAAAACTCCCCTGAGTTAGAACTTCACCCTCATAGGTCAGGTGGTATGCTTCAACCCACAAGCAGGGAGGTGCCTAAGAAGGAAAGAATGATGTCTATCATTTATGCAATTCCAAAAGAGCTATAACTTACTTTCTAAACTGATTGTCTTGCTATGTAATCCCTAAAATTTTTGTTAGTTTTGAATAAAATTATTTTTATTTCCTAAGATTCTAAGTGGCATCTAGGCAGAAATAAACACACACAGAAATAAACCTAAAAAATATAGGAGTTCTAAAGCGATAAATAATAAACACACCAATCACACCAGAGCAAAAGAAAGTAAAAGAAAAAGTCCAAAGTCCATAAGGCAAGTGACATACAACCCAGGGTCTGTAGGAAGTAAATGTGTCCAGAACCAACCAATAATAACTTAAATTACTAATCCTATGACTGATGCAAGTCCTTATACAAAAGTAAATTGGTTTGTTTATTGGTTTTAAAGTCTCCTATAATTGGTTATCCTCTAGAAATGCTTCCAAAAGAAAGAAATATCCTAAATGAGGAAGAAATCTCTTTACTTGTGGTTCTTTTTATTCTTAAATAAACAAACCAATTTTATAATGACTTTAACAACTCCTTTTTTACTCAAAGTATATTTAAAAAAAAAATAAAAAAAGACTTTAAATTCTCTACATGATTAGTATGCTTATAATTATAAAAAATAATCATACAATCACTAATTATCATCACTTTCTCATTTATGAGTAGCATGTGTTAATGCCATGCTTTTAATAATTGGGGGTTAAAGCAGCATAAGAACCTATACAAAATCTTGTTAATTTAATGATTTTAATTATAACTTAACTCCCATATAGCTCTGTATAAACAAGACCACATGCATAAGATTGAATTAGCAAACATGAATATCCATATCGTTCCTAACTTAGGGGCAATCTAATACACCCATGACAGATTATAGAACACTATCATATAGTAAATCACATCTAGCCATGCCAAACAACATCACACACCCACAAAGACAAAAATCATTTTTCTATTTCAAAAAAGTATAAGAAATAATAGTGTCCTAACCTAAAGCTAGAGGTGATTGTCTTAAAAAAAATTCTAAGTGTGTGCTAGATGATAAATGTAAATAATATATTATCTTATGTATTATATTTTTAGTAAAAAAATGTTATTTTAATTGTGTTGTGTAGGAAAATTATAAAAAGGGGGCACAAAATTCTAAGTATCATCCAATACTGCAACACCATCAAGGACACTGTCAGAGCATCATACTTGGACATGACAACATAGTGTTCACTGTCTTCAAGCACTGTAAAGTCAAAATAGTCATCATGGCAGCATCGTGTTCACGATCTTCAAGCATCGCGGTGTTATAATCTATCATGCATTGGCTCTAAATTTGTCACTTAGGCACCACAACATTTAAAATTTAGTAGCGCCACGTCGACGTAGTAGTTGTAACTTCTAAGCGACACAATCTGTTAGCAAAGCGATGTGACTGTTCATTAAGTAACAAGTCCATATCAATAAGCACCGCAGTGCCGGAAAAGTTCTAAGGCCAAAGTGCTAATTCATTTTACGAGCATTGCGACATAAATTTTTAATGTGTCATGGTGTCACCTGTTATTTTTGTGTTTTTTTATAAATAGTAATGAAGTTTTATTTGTAAGAGAGTTTAGTCACCTATCTAATTTCAGTATTTTTTAGAGTACTTCTTTATATCTCTCTTAGAATCAACTCTAAGGGAGTCTAGAGAAGTGTTAGATACAGTCATTAGAGTATTTTAGTCATTATTTATTTGAGCAACTATGTACATTAAGGAACACGGAGTGTAGAGAATGTAAATTGATCCTTCCTGGTGATATCATTCTCATGTATTTTTGTTCTTCTATAATTTCAATGAAAATGCATTTGTTTATCTTTTCTTTTATGTCTAGCTAGCTAATTCATTAGTTTTGGATTGATGATATAGAGAATATCTAGTAATAATAAATATTCTTGTGCTATAAATTTAAATATATATTTTTAATATTTTTATTCTTTATTTAATGCATATAGTGACTATATGTCTAGTTAAAATCTAGTGTGATGTATATCGTCGACAGAGGAATATAAGAACAACCAGGAATATTAAAATAGTATATTTTCATACCTAAATATAGGATATAAAATATGTTAGGTTTTTAAGAAGATGATATAACTATAGGAGGTTGAAAAATATCTTTTAGACCTCTTAAGAATTATACAAAACCTTTAGTAGACAGAATTCATTAGAGCATTAATATGCTTATAATTCAAGCTAATAATTTTGACTTAAAGCCTGTCATTATTCAAATGGTTCAAAACTCTCAGTTTGGGAGAACATTTGTATAAGATTCTAATTTATATTTAACCATTTTTTTATAAATTTATATAAATTTAAGTATAATGGTGTTAGTGATTATGCTATTAAACTTAAATAATTTCTCTTTTATCTAAGAGATAAATCTAAGATGTTCTTTAATTCTTTTCCCCCAAGCTCTATTGCTACTTGGAATGAGTCAGCTCATAAGT